CCTAATAGCATTGTAATCCCCCTCCCTCCAAATTAAATACTTTCCCATACCATCTGCTCTTATCCCTCTCCATGACTATAGTAAAGGTCAGGGAGCTGTGATCACTATCACCGATATGCTCTCCCACCGAGAGATCTGATACCTGACCTGGTTCGTTGCCAAGCGCTAAATCCAATATGGCCTCCCCTCTAGTCAGCATATCTATATATTGAGTCAGAAATCCTTCCTGGACACAATTTTTGGTGGGGAAAAAAAACTCACATGAAATAAGAAGTGGTTATTTGCTAATACACCAACGTGTTTTACAGCCTCGGTTAAAGCCAGAATATAAAGATAGAAATTGTACTTTTGTAGAACCTTTTTTCGCTGATTGTTAGTTTGCCATTAATTACCTTCTAGGAGGAACACTGACTGTGGATGAACGTAGCAGGCAGTCTCTCACAGCAATGTCCCACAAGCTAATAACGTTAATAAATTTGTTTAGCTGTTTCTGTCAGGGTTGGGGATGGTTGTTGTTTGAGGGAGAGTTGTTGACTAAACTTCCTCAGAATTTCCCGTTCCACTCAAAACAGTGCTATGGAACAATCAGACAGGGGTGTTTTCTATCTAAATTGGAGAACAGCTCTTGCAGTAACACAGTACTGTCCCAGTACTACAGTGAAGTGACAGTTAAATTGTTTCTTTAAATCCTGGAATGGAATTTGAACCCATAACACAGGGAAGAACAACGTTGGCAGAAACAGTTCTAGTGAAGAGCAGTTTATATATTTCCAAAATAAGTCCTCCAACAGCCTTGGGCAGCTGACAGGAGAAATAGATACAGTGCAAATTTGGATCTTGCTGTGCATTGTCCATTTGCCGTGGAAATAGCAGCATGGTATTTTTCTTCTTTCTTTACGCTGACATGTTTTATTTATTGAGTGATGCTTCCTTGGTCAAGTTCCCATTCTTATGCATGTTGGAAGAGTGAATGTCCACTTGCTTTTTGACTCTGAATCCATCGCAGTGAGCCTGCCCCCTGCCTACTTGACTTGGCAATGTTGGCAGAGCTTCATGGAGAACAAGGGGACAGCAACAACTGCAGATGCTGGAGTCAGAGTCAATACAGTCTGGAGGAGCACAGCAGGCCAAGCAGCACCAGAGCAGCAGGAAAGTCAATGTTTTGGGTTTACATTCCTTCTTCATGATAATTTAATACAGCGTAAAACGTCGACTTTCCTGCTCCTCTGCTGCCTGACCTGCTGTTCTCCATTAAGGAACACAATCCAACTTGAGAGCTCTGGGGTTTTGTTGTTCCGAGTGTCGCTTCCTTGCTCCAGGATTATCGCAATGGGCAGGGCTGGCTGAGGTCAGCTAACTCAATGTAGACCTGGGATTTCACCTACAACAATATCAGTTAGTAGCAGACGTAGGACATTTGGCCCATCAAACCTGCGGTTGCATTCAGTAAAATCATGGCTGATCTCTTTGTGTCCCCATTACCATCCATTCCTCCTACCTTTGATTCTCTTAAATTTGTTTTTCCTTTGATTCCCTCAAAAATCTAGCTACATTTGCCTTAAAAATGTTCAGTGACTGCTCCTCCACCACCTTTTTGAGGCAGCAGGTTCCAAAGTCACATGTATCTTCATCCTAAAGGGGCAATCCCTAATTTAAAAAGTGGACTGGACTCGCCCACAGGAGCAAACATCCTTTCCATATTCACCTTATCAACACTGTTCAGGATCTTGTACACTTCAATCAAGTCACCCTCACTATTCTAAACTGCATTGGACAGGCTGTGCTTGGTTCCAAACTTCCTTTAAGAGACAACCCATTCATTACAGGCCTCAATCTAGTAAAACTCCTCTCAGCAGTCACCATCCTTCTTTAAATAATACTGCACATGGGTGTTTGAGACTTGTGATGACCCTTGTTTATAGGGATTATAGTGTTTATGGAACTACCTAATTTTTTTTATGTTTTAAAAAAAAACAGGAGACACCAAGTATAATTATTTGCAAATGAAAATAGAAATTGCTGGAAAAGCTCAAGCAGGTCTGGCAGCATCTGTGAAGAGAAATCAGAGTTAACGTTTTGGGTCGAATGACCCTTCCTCACAACTCTGGCTCCAAGGAAGGGTCACTCGACTGGAGATGTTAACTCTGATTTCTCACCACAGATGCTGCCAGACCTGCTGAGCTTTTCTAGCAATTTCTATTTTTGTTTCTTATTTACAGCCTCCGCAGTTCTTCGGTTTTATTATGTATAATTACTCCCTGAACAAACTTTGAGAATGAAATTTAAGTCCAATTTACACTGGCCGTGGGATCAATACTTGACTTTGTCCCAAAGTTGAGAGTGTTTGACGTGAAAATTTACCTCTTCCTGTTTTGGTAAGTAAAAGGCTCCCCAATTCATGACAAAAAATGTCATATTACTAAGGTAAAGGGAACAAATGCTTTTTTCCAAGCATGAATAAATGTGGAAACTTCAACACTTCTTCAGCATCCCATTGCAGATTCTGAACGGTCTAAATGAGAAGGAAAATTCCGTGTAATTTTAAAACTGGACACGCATGTACTCATATTTACATCTAAGCTGGTGTTTACTAATTTTAAAGTTGATGCTCAGAATTATTCTGGGAGCAGTCATTAGTATTTGAATTCCCCAGTAAATGATGCCATGAAGCTTTACTTTGAAACATCTTAAAAATAAAGAGATAATGAGTGGTGTTAGTCCCTCAATATAATCTCTTCTTCACCATCACAAACCCTCTGCCTCAAGGAAGGTGATTCTTTGCCAGACCATGGTGATGTGCTGTGTTTTTTGTTTGTCTGGTGAGGAGGCAGACTCTGTTTACTAGGCTGGGATGGCGAGATGGAGAGATTGAAGAGACTAAGTGTGTATTCTCTGAAGCTCAAGAGGTATCATTGAAGCAGAGAACATTCTTTTCAGCCTTGATAGAGTAGACAAAGGATCGATGATTCCTCTGGCTGGGAACGTGGTCTCAAACCAGGGGGGACGATCCCAGAACATGAGGGAGACCACTTAGCTCTGAAGAGCTGTTGTATTAGACTCCAAACACGAGCTTCTGTCCTCCTCTCTCCCTCTCTTTCCCTCCAAGAGATACTGCCAGACTTGCAGAGTTTCTTTCTTGCTTTTTGTCTTCAAATCTGCAGTACTTTGCTATAGGCCATTTAGGAGGAATATCTTCTGTCAGGGTGTGGTGAACCTCTGGAATGCTGTATCTATCACAGAGATATGGAGATCACAGAATCCCTAAAGTGCAAATAGATGCCATTTGGCACATTAAGTCTGCACTGACCACCCGAACAGGTTGCCACTTTATCCCCATAGCACTGCATTTATTGTGGGTAACGTATCTAGCCTGCACATCCCTGCTCACTATGGGGTAATTTAGCATGGCCAATCCACCTAACCTGCACATTTTTGAACAGTGGGAGGAAATCGGAGCACCCAGCGGAAACCCACACAGTCAGTTCTAACCACTGTACCGCCAAGCATTCTGAATTCGGTTATTGATTATGTTCACGACAGACATTGATATAAAGTCATACAGCATGGAAACGGACCCTTCAGCCAACTCGTCCATGCTGATCATGAATCCCAAACTGAACTAGTCCCATTTTCCTGCATTTGGTCCATATTCCCTCTAAAACTTTCCTGTTTATGTACCAGTCCAAATGTCTTTTAAATGTTGTAACTTTACCCGCTTCTACCACTTCCTCTGGCAGCTCATTCCATATATGCACCATCCTCTGTGTCTCTCAGGTCCCTTGTAAATCTTTCCCCTCTCACCTTAAAGGCCCTCTAGTTTTGGACTTCCCTATCTTGGAAAAAGACTTTGTCTATTCATCTTATCCATGCTTTTCATAATTTTATAAACCTCCATATGTCATCTGATTCTGTAGGGAACAAAATCCGGGCTCTCGTTACAATTCAAACGCTCCAATCCCGGCAACATCCTTGTAAATTTTTCTGCACCCTTTCTAGTTTAACAACATTCTTCCTGTAGCGGGATGACAAGAATTGCATGCAGTATTCTAAAAGCGGCCATACCAATTGTCCTATACAACTGTAACATGATGTCCCAACTCCTATACTCAATGCTCTAACAGATAAAGACAAGCGTGCCAAACATTGCCTTCACCATCCTGTCTATCTGCGACACTACTTTCAAGGAACTATGAACCTGCACCCCTAGGTTCCTTTGTTCAACAACACTGCCAGGCCCCACCATTAACTGTGTAAGTCCCTGGTTTGCCTTACCAAAATACAACATTTCACATTTGTCTAAATTAAACTCCACCTGCCACTTCTCAGCCTATTGACCCATCTGATCAAGATCTCACTGCCCGTTATACCACCGATTTTGGTGTCATCCACAACCGTACTGCCATACCTCCTTATATTCTCATCCAAATCATTGACATAAAAGACAAACAACAGATCTTTAACATCTAGAAATCTATTGATGGGATATGGGGATAGTGCAGAAAAAGGGTATTGAGGTAGAAGATCACCAATGACCCAGTTGGATGGCAGAGTAAGCTTGAGGGGCCAAATGGCAATTTTGTAAATCTTTCCCAGTTCCTATATTCCTACCTCAGTCAGAATGGGGATCGAACCCCTGGTTAATCTGATCTCTGTGGTAGTTATCTAGCTACTGAGCTAACCAGCTCCTTCATTATATAACATTCAAGTATTCCTGAATAAAGGCTTGCCATCTTGTTCTCATCAGGAAATTTTACCAAAAAAGAACAATATTTGCAATTATGGAAATAGTCTGTAGATTTAACTGATCTCTGGGATCATGCTGGTGTAGAGATGAACTACAGGGGGATTTAAGTGGAACATGATCCCATTTCTGTCATTGTCATCACCTTATATCTCACCCTTTCAGCTCTGAAGGCTCCTAATTTCCAGGCCTCTGAATTTTAGTTACCATGTGAATGAACACTTCCTTCAGTGGCTGACTTTGTTCTGCTTGTTCTCAGTCACTCAGGGAATGAGAGGATGGAGGCTGATGTTCACAACAGGAAGGTGCCTTGGGAGATCAATGGTTCCTTGGCCCCAGTTGACCTCCAGCGTGGTAACAGATCGGAGAGCCCCACGCCCGGCCTTGTGGAAGGCACTGAGCCTGGTAAGAAGTCCTGATCTAGACTAAGGGAAAGAATAAACAAGAGAGAAAGACAACACTCGAGGCTCTCGCCTTGAGAGCTTGCGTTACGTCTGATGGTTAAACTGTACTTTCTAACCTTTTAATTGAAGCAGCTGGTAAATGTTGAAGGTTGTTTCATACACGCATAACACACACAATACACACATGTGCACATACAGCTTGATTACAAGCCAGAGAAACCCAATGAATGTCTCTCTCCCTTGCCCAGATCCAGTAACAATTAGACTCGACCCAGTGGTTATCTCCAACAATGGGCCTTCATTACTCTGTCTCTGCTGACAGATTAGTTTCTTGGTAGTGCTTGTAGGTTCAAGTAGGGGTGAGTAGGAATTGCTGCAGTAGAAATGACTAAGGTCCATTCAGACCCCTTCTAGGTAACTGCACAATGTAACAATAGGCTTGTCATAGACAACCGAACCAGATGTGACGTGATCAAAGTCGCAGTGGTGGAAATCTTTGACAACGTGAGGTACGGTTCCCAGTTCCCACCAAACAATCCCTCTCTCCAACCCTGCCACCCTCTCCCCTCCTTCTCCTCCTCCAACAAATATGGTGTGCTTTCCACATGGGTGTCACAGGTAAGCAGGAGGTTTGTCTGTGTTCATGTGTGGGTGTGCATGTTTATACGTGTGGCATTTTTGTTTCATTCACGGGATGTGGGCGTCACTGGCCAGGCTGGTATTTGTTACCTATCCCTAATTGCCCTGAGGGCAGTTAAGCGACATCCACATTCTTGTGGGTCTGAAATTGCAGGTAAGGATGGCAGTTTCCTTCCCTAAAGGACATTAGTGAACCTGATGGCTTCTTCCCGACAATCGGCAACAGTTTAGTGTTCATCATTAAATTGGCATTTCCAGGTCTTTATTGAATTCAATTTCCACCATCTGTCCTGCCGGATTTGAACCTGGGTCACCAGAATATTACTTGGGTTTCTAGATTAACAGTCCAGCAATTGTCTCTGTCTGTGTCTCTGTGTGTGTGTCAGTGTGTCAAAGGACCAAGGTACCTTTTATCTTGACATGTAGTTACTCTTGTAATCTCAGACATGTGTCAGCCAATTTGGACACGGCAGGGTCCCCCACACAGTGTGATAATGAGTGTTAAGCTATTTTTGTTGGTGAAGAATGGCCAGGACTTGCGGGGAAAATTTCCGCTGCTCTTCTGTGAAAGATTGCCTTGGGCCCACCCATGTTCATCTGAGGGGGAATAAAGAGCTTTGGTGTAAAGTTTCATCCAAAAAGCCAAAAGTGTAGCACTCTTTCAGTACTGCACTGGAGAGTCAGCTTTCACTTTTGTGCTTTGTATCCTGAACTGGGGCTTGGACCACCAACTTCTGGCTTAAGGGCAAGAGTGCTACGAGCTGAGCCGTGGCTGACCCATAATTATATGTCCCCCACTGGATGCTTTGATGTGGAAGTTTTCCATTTAATCAGCGAGGAGTGATGTTTTTCTCTCAGCATCCTTGTTAATGTGAGATTTCAGAAAAGGTTGAGACAGAAATTAATTTATCTGAGGGTAGATATTGAGAACCCCTGTCCCCCCAGAGAGGCTGAAAATATGAAAAAAATGCAAGAAATGCTGCCACTGGCACTGGTTTGACAAAATATTGTGTGGGGTTTTCCAATCCTGCAGATCATGATTTTCTTGTTTGTTGAGATAGAGGTGAGTCGGGGAGAAAAAAAAGTTTGCTATGTCAAAACACTGTGTCACCTTTATTTCCTAGTAAAATGATCTGTACATTAACCACTCTTGTTTCAAACTCGTAATTTGAATTTGAAACGTACTTACAAGAGATATTGTCTGAATAGTGCACACCCTTGTCTTCTCACAACTAGCTGGTCCCAGAAGACAAGGGAGAACCAGCAAGTACAAGCAGGTCCAGGTATAAGTGAATATACGTAGTTAAGGTTCCCTGGCTTCTATCTCGGTGCTTAATAGCATGCATCGGTAAGTCTAATTATCAAGAGTTTCTAAAGCTTTACACAGGAAGGCAGAGCAGAAAGTTTTAAACACCGATGGATTTATGACTTGTGCATCTTGTAGAAGATGGTTATAGAAGAATATTGACTGAAACTCAGTCCTAGAATGGTGTGGTAGCATAGTGAATATACAATTAGTTTAGCAATCTAGGCTTGGATTACTGATTTGGAATCTATGCATTCAAATCTTGCTGATATATTTTGGAAATTTCAGTTCGGTTCATGAAATAAATTGTGATCTTTTTTTTCCCATTTTGAAAAAAAGATGCCAATGTCAGTAATATAACTAGACAATTTTAAAAACTATCTACTTTAAAACTGTTCTAAAATCCTGGCTTGTTTATGCTCGATACTTGACTGCCCTTTGAAATGGTTGAAAAAGACACAGTTTTTTTTAAAATTTGATCATGGAATGTGGACATGGCTAGAACTTCATTTATTGCTGTTAAGACTGTGGGGCTGGAGTCACATGGAGGACAGTAGATTTCCTTCTCCGAAGGAAATTTTGTGAACCAGATGGTATTTAGCAATATTTTCTGGTAGTTATGTGTTCAGCACATTTTTACTGAATTCAAATTTCACCAATTGCTATTGGTGGGATTGAACTCATGTCCTCAGAACATTAGCCTGGGTTCTAGATTACTAGTTTGTTGGCATGGCCACAACATTACTGCTCCCTCCCAGCTTTGTTTAAAAAAAACAATCAACAATGGCTACTGGTTGCTGCCTTTTCCAGTGACATTAACGTCCCATTAATTAGTTTAAAAAAAATACAGTAGATGCGAGACTGCACATAATTTAAAATAAATTGGCAGCTGAAGTGGTACATCTTAATGTCACCAGGTACTAGGCTTAATGAGAGCTGGAACGTAGAAGCTGCTGGAGTGAACTTGCATTTGGATCTGATCACCTGGGCTCATAGGGGTGTAAAATATTTCAATTCTCAGAATCGATACTTTTCCTCTTAAGGGGTAAACAAAAATGTAAGCTTAATAAAACTGTGCTCCAGATGCCCTGTGAGTGTCAGATCCTAAGTGTAAGTGCACACATAGGGATCAGTTTTTATTTCCTGGCAGTGGCCCACATGGTGGTATTGCTGTTGTGCGAGAGACTTTTTTTTTTTTTTTGGATGATATTTTAAACTAAGGCACTGTGATCCCAATGCAATATTTCACAGAAGAGCAAGGGAAATTTTCCCCGGGAGTCCTGGCCATTTCTATCCACTCACCTTCACTGATTAAAAATAGCTTAACAAAAACAGAAGTTGCTGGAAAAGCCCAGCAGGTCTGGTAGCATCTCTGAAGAAAAATCAGAGTTTAGAAAAATCAGTTTCGGGTCCGGTGACCCTTCCTCAGAAAGGTTCTGATTTTTCTTCACAGATGCCGCCAGACCTGCTGAGCTTTTCCAGCAACTTCTGTTTTCGTCCCTGATTTCTAGCATCTGTGGTTCTTTTGGTTAAAAATAGCTTAATGTTCATTATTACAGTGCGTGTGAGCTTGCTGTGTCCAAATTGGCTGATGTAATGTCAGAAATACATGTCAATATAAAAAGTTTGCCTTGGTGCTTTGAGATAGCCAGTGGTCATGAATGGCGCTAATCAAATGCAAATGTTTCTTTTAATAGCGTGTGCAACACACACGCGCACACACACACCCTCCCAATTTGCCATTTGTGTTGCTGGACAGCTTTTTGAGATTTCTATGCTCCTTCAATTCTAGCCTCTTGAGAAACCATGAGTTTTAAACACTTCACCATTAGCACCATGGGAGAGGCGATGGCCTAGTGGTATTATCGCTGGACTGTTAATCCAGAGACCCAGATAATGTCCTGGGGACCTGGGTTCGAATCCCACCATGGAGGAATTTGAATTCAATAAAAATCTGGAATTAAGAGTCTAATGATGACCATGAATCCATTGCCAATTGTCGGGGAAAAACCCATCTGGTTCTCTAATGTCCTTTAGGGAAGGAAACTGCCATCCTTATCTGGCCTAGATGTGACTCCAGACCCACAGCAATGTGGTTGACTCCTAACTGCCCTTTGGGCAATTAGGGATGGGCAATAAATGCTGCCTGGCCAGCAACACCCTCATCCCATGAATGAAAAAAGAAAGCTGTGCCTTTTGCTACCTAAAGTCCTCGGCTCTGAAATCCTCTCTCTAAACCTGTGCCCCCCTCAATAGCTCTCTTCCCTCTTTTTTAACATTCTCTTCAAGCCTACCACTGCAGCCAAGCCTTTGTTACGCTGTCCTCCTAGCTCCCTTTGTGGCTTGTTGTTAAATTTTACTGGTGTTGTAGGGGATGGTTGTACAGTGGTAATATCACTGCATGAATAATGCAGAGGCTTAGGCTAATGTTCTGGGATTGGCAGTTCAAATTTTTCACAACGCATGATGAAATCTGAATTCAGTAAAATAAAAATGTAGCTACTGGCAACCACATAACCACTGTTGATTATTGAACCTGATTTTTACAACAATGTCCTTGAGAGAAGGAAATCTGCCGTCCTGATCTGGCCTGCATGTGACTCCAGGCCAGAACTGATGTGGTCAACTTTTGACTGCTGTCTGGAGCACTTTATTGCCCATCCCTAATTGCACAGAGGGCAGTTAGGAGTCACCCACATTGATGTGGGTCTGGAGTCACATGTACACCAGACCAAGTTAGGACGGCAGTTTCCTTTACTAAAATACATTAGTGAACCTGGTGGGCTTCCCCTCCAACAATTGACTATGGATTCATGGCCATCATTAAACTCTTAATTCCATATTTTTATTGAATTCAAATCCCACCATCAGGGCAGTACGGTGGCTCAGTGGGTAGCACTGCTGCCTCATGGTGCCAGTGACCTGGGTTCGATTCTGGCCATGGGAAATGCAGGGTTACAGGGATGGGGTAGAGTGGGTGGTTCTGGGTGATATTCTCTTCCCAGGGTTGGAGCGGACTTGATGGTCCGGATGGCCTGCTTCCGCTTTGTTGGGATTTAATGACTCTATCTGCCACGGCAGGATTCAAACCCAGGTCCCCAGCTTGTTACGTGGGTCCCTGGAGTAACACTCCAGCGATAATACCACTAGGCTGTCGCCTTCCCGTAACACACGTTTTACCAGTTTAAAGGCTCTACATAAATGCAAGTTGTTGTTGACAGCCAACAAACATGTAGTAAGAAATCAACTGCAACCTGACCGTTTTCTCCCAGATAGTCAGCAGGCCATAGTCTGATCCCAGGTACATATCTGACATATATCCTGTTTCATTTTACAACTGGTTTCCAGTTCTAGGCTCCTGAACTCTATGACCGATATATTGATTCAAAAGATTGTTCCTTGCCACATGTGTCCATTGTTCTACACATAAACCACCAGAATCTCATGATAACGTTATAGTCTGTAGCTCATTCCCAAATCGATTATTATTGTACATCCAGCGACCTTTTGACGCCTTCCGAGTTTGTCATTATTAGTTACCTAATACCAGCCACAAGGCAGATGCCAGACTTGTATTTATCTGCATGTATCCCTTTTGTCTAGGTGCTGGACAGGAGAGTGCAATGTTTATCCACACAAGATCTTATGAAGATCTAACCACAGATGATGAAGTGAAGGGGTGTCTGGACGGCACTAACAAGGCCGTCACCGAAGAATCCCAGATAGAAGAGATCAGCAAAGATTTCAACGAACTGAGCACACAACTGACTGGCATCGCGATGGACGTGAACAAGGAGATGAGGGACAGCGATGTGGAGGGAGAGGGGTCATCTGGGAGGTCACGCAGAGAGTCCATGCTCTCGGAGAAAGAGGAGGACATAACAGCTGAGTCATGGAGGCAGCACCGGAAACACATCTTTGTCTTCAGTGACGCTGGGAAACCGATTTATTCCCGTTATGGGACAGAGGAATCTCTCTCCTCCATAATGGGGGTGATGGTGGCACTTGTGTCCTTCATTGAGGCAAGCAAAAATGTGATCAAATCCATCCATGCAGGTGCGTTCAGTGGTTTCAGTTACCGCTGGTTGTGTTACACTGTTCTGTTGACTTCATGGTTCCTGTACTGGACCCATGGATAAAGGAGTGGGTGAGCATGATGGTGAACCCGCTCCAAGAGGCATGTCTCAATGTTGGCTTTTCAAATCCACCATCCTGCTGCAGTGCAGGTATAAGAAGCAGTCACTCGGTAGGACAGAGCCACAAAGCAGCTGACAAAACAGATGTGCTGTTCAAGCTGGTAATCTTGCACCTCTTGGGACGGCAATGGCCTGGAGGTATTATCACTGGATTGTTAATCCAGAGACTCAGGTAATGTTATGTGGGTTATCAAGGTGTAGAGATGGATGAACACAGCAGGCCAAGCAGCATCAGAGGAGCAGGAAAGCTGACGTTTTGGGCCTAGACCCTTCTTCAGAAATATCTCAGATTTTCCAGCATCTGCAGTTCCTACTATCTCTGAAATAATGTTATGGGGACCTGGGTTCGAATCCTGCCACGGCAGATGGTGGAATTTGAATTCGATAAATATCTAGAATTAAGAGTCTAGTGATAGCTGTGAATCTGTTGTCGATTGTTGGGGGAGAAAAACTCATCAGGACGGATGCAAGAATGCCATTTTTTCAAAGGGTCCTTTTGGAAATTTGGTCCTTTTGCCTTTATCTTGATGAGTGCAAGGCAAAAAAGTTTCGACAGAATGTCACTTTGGTTGGCGAAGCAATCGTTTTTTAAAAAAAGTTTATTCTTGAGATGTGGGTTTCTCTAACTAGGCCAGCATTTATTGCCCATCCCTAATTGCCCAGTGGACAGGTAAGAGTCAACCATATTGCTGTGGATAACGAGTCACAGGTAAGGATGGCAAATTTTCTTCCCTAAAGGACATTAATGAATCAGATGAGTTTTTAATCACAATCAACATTTCATGGTTGTCATTAGGCTAGCTTCTTGTTCCAAATATGTATTGAATTCAGACTTTACCATCTGCAGTGATGGGTGAAGTTTGACCCTTGTCCCCAGAACATTAGCTTAGATTCTTGGATTGCCAGTCAAGAGACATTACCACTGCTTCCCCTTAGCACAATAATATTGCACTGACTACTATTTACATTATCCCTCTTTTTGTAAAAAGAATTGGAACACAGCTTATCTGAAGTTGGGAAGTTGGTATCTGTTTGTCTGACTGCCTAAACGACATCACCCATTGGAAAGGGTTTAGGGAATGATGTTCGGAAACAAATCTGTCTTTCGGTACCATGTGCTGATCAGGAACACAGTGCTGTCGAGGTCATGAGCTCAGTGCTGCAACCTACTGCCAGCCTCATTTTGCACTGGGTAATGTCCCTGGCTCTGAACCAAAAGCCCCAATTCAAGCCTCATTCCAAGCCTTGATGGCCAAGACAGGTATGTTCACAAAGCTGCCAAACAGGCTGAGTATCAACTTGTAACTTCTTTCAACACACTTCGGTAGCAGACAGTGGAAAAGATTCTTGGTCAATCTGGTGATGGAGTTCGTGCACTGTGACCATCACCATAACCATATAGCGTCAATTCTTACATGCCCAGGTTAAATACTAGTTAGGCAGAGTCCAGGCATATTCTTTTCTAATTAGAATTGTATTTTTACTCGCACTTCAACACTATTGGATGTAGGTACAGCAAATGTTTTAGTAGCTGTCACCTACAGCACTGCCTGTGAACCAGTTGATCAAATATTCCGAAGAGTCAAGATGTCCATGTTATCAATGTACAAACACACACTAAGTAATAGAAACGTAACGCAGGAAGTCTACACGTCATTGTTACACCTTATTTACAGCATAAATCTCTTAAATAATAATGCAACTTTGCCTTAAATAAAACTTAGCAGCAGAAAGCCTTCTCACTCGCACCCTCACCTGACTATTCCGGCATCGCAGAGATTGTGATAATACGGTAAACTTTGTGGTATTTGAGGTATATAATTTTTGCCGCTTTATTGAGAGTGCCGGTTCAAAAGGTGCCAGTTGAAACAAAGTTTGCTGTATCTTTAATCAACTTGTTTGGATGAGTTATGAGCAGGTGGGTTTTGAACCAGACCTTCTTCGCCCAGAGGTAGGGCTGCTACCAATGTGATACAAGAGTCCCTACACTACTGGGTATTTGGGGAACAAGTAACCAGTACGTTAATGAACATATAACCATCAACTGTTCCCTAGTTCTGTTTGGTCTGAGGCATTTCTACCAGACTGAATAGGTAATCCCATACTAGATGAGAAGTTCTGAAGATGATAAAATTGTTCCCTTCTTCTCCTCTCTTCCCTACATTGTTCTGAGTTGTAGAGTCATACAGCACAGAAACAAATCCTGTGGTCCAATTTGTCTGTGCCAACCAAAAATTCCAATCAGGCATAGTCCCATTTGCCAGCATTTGGCCCATATCCCTCTTAAACCCTTCATATTCATATATCCATCCAGATGCCTTGTAAATGGGGAGGGAATGGCCTAATGCTATTAATTGCTGGACTGTTAGTCCAGAGACCTGGGTAATGGCCCGGGGACCTGGGTTCGAAACCCTGCCATGGCAGATGGTGGAATTTGAATTCAATAAAAATCTGGAATTAAGAATCTAATGATGACCAAGAAACCGTTGCTGATTGTCGGAAAAAACACATCTGGTTCATTAATGTCCTTTAGAGAAGGAAACTGCCATCCTTATCTAGTCTGGTCTATATGTGACTCCAGACCCACAGCAATGTGGTTCATTCATAACTGCCCTCTGGGCAATTAGGGATGGGCAATAAATGCTGGCCGAGCCAGCGACACCCTCATCCCGTGAATGAATAAAGAAAAAAAAAATGTTGTAATTGTACCAGCCTCCACCACTTTGTCTGGCAGCTCATTCCATACACGTACCATCCTCTGTGTGAAAGTTACCCATCGGCTAAGCCAAAGCTCCGAAGGTAAAGACTTGCTCCCAGGTATGCATAAACATTTTCTGTAACTAGCCACTGGGGAGTCTACAGCAAACGGCCGAAGTGACTGATGTTTTCCCTTTTTTGAAACTCCTCACAATCTGTGCAATTTGCTCATTTCATGAAAATGTCTCCAGTTGCCCCAGTCTGTCTCCGTGACTGAAGCCCCTCGCTCCCTGGTCCCACCATGACAAATCTTGTATGGAGCTGCCCCATCATCTGGACACCTTCTGGCAAGGACGACACAGAGAGCTGCACCACGGTTGTGCCGTGACCATCAGCTGAAGTTGCATGTGTGGCCCATGCTGTCAAGCATGTGGTTGAGTGATCAGAGAGCCCCTCGCTGTCTCTGAGGGGAAAGGGAACTTTAAACAGTGAGCGGTGGGCAGATCTGCTGTCAGTACATTTTTAAAGAAGGAAGCACCTACTTTATTGGGAACACCACGACTCTTCATAAGGATTAAAGGCTTTAGTTAGCAGTGGGACGAATGGAGCAGGCATTTTAGTTTGTTGAGTGGCGTCTTGTTACCTTTCTCCAATGGAATAGCGATGGGAGGATTCACAGCACTTACAACTGATTGTAGCACAGGGTTGTGGTGCAGAGAGTGTTGATTAATTCCCTGCTTTTGTTTATTACAGAGGGCTACAAGGTGGTATTTGTTCATCGAAGCCCCCTGGTCCTTGTCGCTGTTGCTCGTACCCGCCAATCAGAGCAGGAAGTGGCTAAAGAGCTTCTGTATGTTTACTACCAGATAATTAGCCTGGTCACTTTAACCCAGCTCAACAGAATCTTCGAGCAGAAGAAGAATTATGATCTCCGCCGGCTGCTTTCAGGCTCTGAGAGGATAACAGACCACCTCCTCAATCTCATGGACAAAGATCCCAGCTTTTTAACCTGCGCGGTCCGATGCCGGCCCTTGGCCTCGTCGGTGAGAGACACCATCAGCAGCAGCCTACAGCAGGCCAAAGACAAAAGTCTCGTCTTCTCCATTCTGGTTGCTCAGAACCAACTGGTTACGCTGGTGAGGAAAAAAGACCAATTCCTGCACCCCATCGACCTCCATCTACTCTTCAACCTCATCAGTGCCTCCACCTCCTTCCGAGAGGGAGAGGCCTGGACTCCCATCTGTCTGCCCAAGTTCAACTCCAGCGGTTTCTTTCATGCTCACATCTCCTACCTCGATCAGGTGAGCAGCCTGTGTTTGCTCCTCATCTCCACCGATCGCGAGCACTTCTTTACCATCTCCAATTGCAAGAGCAAATTTCTGGAGCGCATGAAGAGACGGAATACCTTCCAGACGCTGCTCGAAGAGTTGCGGACTCCATCCTACAGTGTTTCTCAAGTGGGCATCCCAGACCTAAGGCACTTCATCTACAAATCAAGAAGCTCTGGTCTGTTCACGAGGTAAGGAACAAGTCGAGCTATCCAAATGATATAAATGAATGAAAACCATGCATTTGCAAAGCGCCTTTTATTTTCTTAGGATTTTCAAAAGCGATTTAATACCAATAAGGCACTTTTGAAGTTGTTGTGATGTAGGAATTCAGTAGCCAGTTTGCATACAGCAAGGTCCCACAACAAGAGTGTGAGAATAAGCAGGTATTCTGTTTTTCTTTGTGATGTCTGAGTGATAAATGTCGGCCAGATCACCAGCGATAACTCCCTTGCTCTTATTTGCAGTAATTCCATGGGATTATTTAGCACCAGGACAAAGAGTGTTTGGTTTACTACCTGAACTGAAAGGTGGCACCTCTGACACTGGTGTTCCCTCTGTACTGCACCAGTGCTTTGGCCTAGATTTTGTGTTCAAGTCTGGAGTCGGATTTGAACTCTCAGCCTTTCAATTCAGAGGGATGGCTGAATGCTGTGCAGTGAGTAATCATTAACAAGTGGGATAATGGTTTCATTATCTGTTTGCTATCATTAAACTACTCCAATCCAATGGAGCAATGGGTTTCAAATAATCTCTGTTCAATTTGTAGTCCATTCAAGCTCCCCTGTTAAAAATTGATCTTAGATTATCAATCAATGACAATTGGCACAAGAAAATAAGAATCTGTAAGGGCTGAGATAACAAGGTGTAGAACTGGATGAACACAGCAGGCCAAGCAGCATCAGAGGAGCAGGAAAGCTGACGTTTTGGGCCTAGACCCATCTTCAGAAATGTCAGCTTTCCTGCTCCTGTGATGCTGCTTGGCCTGCTGTGTTCATCCAGCTCTACACCTTGTTATCTCAGATTCTCCAGCATCTGCAGTTCCTACTATCTCTGTAAGGACTGTTGCATTCAGATACTGTAAGAAGCGTGGAACAGGTTTGCTATGAGGTGGAATTGGATAGCCGTTATGGTGTCGTGGTGGTGTTCATCCCTCTGCTCTGGAGGCCTAGGTTCAAATCCCACTTGCTCCAGAGGTGTCTTTTAACATCTTGGAACAGCTTGAGTAGAATTTGCATCGTCTTGCCAATTTTACATAGGCGGTCACAGCACATAGCAACTTCTTTGCTATTTTACCAGCTGATTGTAACTTGCCAGATTATCCTGTTTGGTAACAGTTTTATTTTCCCTTGTTTTGTTTCTCCCCTGCTGTATGAGGATTTTCTCTCTGAGCTAAGTCAGGCAGACATCTCCCCTTTTTTTTTTTTTTCTTCAATCCAGGGTTTCATTCCTGTTCTGAAAAGCTTCCAGTTCTGAATATTCTTGATTCTTTCGGCTGCCTGCTGGGCTTTCTACTCTTTCGGAGATTGATTGATTGATTGGTTCTGTAGTGGGTTCCTGCCCTCACTTGTGCAGTCAGTCGCCATTATGACAAGTCCTGCCCTTCGAGCAGGACCACTAGAGTATCAGACATTTGGGAAGTCCAAAATCAATGTTCTTCTTCTATTGGTCAGAAAAGAACAGAATATCCCTTTGACGTTTTGACATGGGGACAGGCAGTCAAATGAAGTCAGCCTCCCTCCCTCTGTCTTCACAACACAGTAAAATTAAAAACTTTCAAAGACCCTAAAAATTGACCCCAACAGTTCCCAATCAGACATTTTTAATAACTAGTCCCAGAATTTGTGAATAGTTGATATTAGACACTAAGTTTTTATAGCAAGAGATTTAACAATTTATGAACAATTGTTGGGCGGCACGGTGGCTCAGTGGTTAGCACTGCTGCCTCACAGTGCCAAGGTCCCGGGTTCGATTCCACCCTCGGGTGACTCTCTGTCTGTGTGGAGTTTGCACATTCTCCCTATGCCTGCATTGGTTTCCACCAGGCACTGCGATTTCCTCTCACAGTCCAAAGATGTGCAGGTTAGGTGGATTGGCCATGTGAAATTGCACATAGTGTCCAGGAGTGTTCAGGCTAGGTGGATTAGCCATGGGAGATGCAGGGTTACAGGGATACGGTAGTGGAGGTGGGTTGGGATGGGATGCTCTTCAGAGGATCGGATGTGGACTCGATGGGTGAATGGTCTGCTTCCACGCTGTAGGGATTCTATGATAACAGCACAGTAATGTTACCAGAGCAAATTTAAACAACAAAGTAATCTAATTAATGTCTATGGTTAAGCCCAATCCTCCTCAATTCTAGCCCTCATTCTCACACAAAGACAGACAGACAAATAAACACAATTAAGGGAAAAATAAATGAGATGTAACTGGCTAGTTCATTTAGCAAACTCCACGATCTGTAACATCAGTGGAAAGTAGGATTATGTCTTGCATGGTTTCTGATGAGGTTGTAGACTTGCTTGCTGAACCGGTGGGTTTGGTTGCAAATGCTTCATCACCCTGCTAGGTAACATCGTCAGTGTACCTCCGGTGAAGCATCGGTGTTCTGTCCTGCTTGTTACTTGTATGCCTCCAGTTTGTTGGGGTGTTTGGTACCACTTCTGGTTCTGTTTCTCAATGGTTTGAGTTAGACCCTGTGTACAATGTGTTTGTTGATGGAGTTCCGTTTCTGAATTCACTGATGCATTTAGATAGCAGGCTCTGAGGAATATTAATTCCTATAACTTAGATTCTGTTCTCTGAGCTTTCAATAAATTGATAGAGACGACAACCAGGGAGCAATCATACCTCTGTCCTGCAACTTTTCGGGGCAAAGTCCTTCTGACCCAAAATGCACTGCAAAAACCAATTCAAACTGTGGCCTCTCCTTGCCAGAATTGCCGTCTCCCTATGAGATCCCAGTTAACATTCAACATCTGCCTTCTGTTTGAACATAAGGTCTCTCTGGAGTCGAAGTGTCTACAGAGCACCTTTTAGCAACAAATAACCTGCAGTTAACTTTCAGGCCAGGCCTCGTAAAGAAATAACAGCTTGTTTGTTCTCTATCGCTTAAACAAGCTGCTGCACACAGTCCAAAAGTCACCTTTAAGCTCTCAGCTCTCCGCTCAAGCTCCAAAGCAAAAAATGACAAAATAAAACATGAAAATAATGGAAAATCAGCGAGGGCTCCAACATAAGTAATAAGTTAGGCCCTTTCCAAGAAACAACTGGCTATTCAGGTGAAAAGCACGAGTGAGTAAATGTAGAGCCCAAAGCAGTTCATGGTGAATTAACTACTTTTAATTTTTTTTCCATGCAATCAGATCCCATAAATTTAAGAGAAAAAAATTCCTTCATGGGATGTAGATCTTGCTGGCAAGGTCAGCATTATAGCCCATTCCTAATTACTCTTGAACTAAGTGGATTGCTGGGCCATTTCTGGGGGCAGTTAAGAGCCAGCCACATTGCTGTGGGTCTGGAGTCACATATAGGCCAGACCAGTTAAGGATGGCAGTTTCTTTCCCTAAAAGACATTAGTGAACCAGATGGTGTAGAGCTGGATTAACACTTTTCTGAAGAAGGGTCCAGACCTGAAACATCAGCTTTCCTGCTCCTCTGATGCTGCTTGGTCTGCTGTGTTCATCCAGCTCTACATCTTGTTGTCTCAGATTCTCCAGCATCGGCAGTTCCTAATGTCAGTGAACCAGATGGGTTTTTTATAAGAATGGATGCTCGTTGTCATGGTCACCGTGACTGAGGCTCATTTTGCATTCTGGATTTATTTCCTGAATTTAAACTTCACCAGCTGCTGTAGTGCAATTTAAATCTGTGCTCCCAGAGCATTAAAATAAAAGCAAAACATTTAATGGAGTTTCAGCAGCACCTCAGCAGAATCGTAGAATAAAAATAAATCATATAATTTTAAAGTACAGAAGGTGGCCATTCAACCCATCATGTTTATACTGGCTCCTGAAGGAGCTACCCAGCTCGTCCCATTCTCCAGCTCTATCTCCATAGCCTCTAAATTCATCCCTTTCAAATATATATCCAGCTCTCTTGAAACCTCATTGTATCAAAGTGAGTTTAAATTCACAACTTGTTCAAAATTAAATTTGGCAAACCACTCACTTTAATAGAGCATTAGATACTGTTACAAAGTTTGTGTAGCGTGTGTGGTCCCTTTTAAGAGATAAAGTGCTTTTCTAAGCTTGGAGATTTATACAGGAATAAAATGTCTGTATGTAGCTGAAGATGTACAGCCAGTTCTAAAGTGGAAACCTGTATCGATTGGCTGTGTGATTGGAAACCTTAAGTTTGTTTTGATGTTTTGGCAACGAACTCGAATCAGCCAATTAATTTAAACCAAGCACATGGTGATTGAAAGCCAATTGTATTTATATCTGATGGTTTTGACAACCTCAGACCAATGCCATTGTAAGAAAATTGATATGTCATCCATGGTATATAAGGAGAGGGTTTTTGAAAATCAGGGTGCGAGCTAACTGCCATCTGAGAAATAAGCATCTAGCTCTCACAAGAAATCGCTAAGCTCTCTAAGAAAGCAACATCCAATCCATAAAAGGTACCACCATGGCATTTTTAGCTCGGAGACCTCATTGGAGAAATTAAAGAGAAAACATCCCTGATGTCCAAATCAGCAGAAGAAAGATGTTTGTGGCTTGAGATCAACAGAAGGCAGAGTGTTCCAGAAGACACATTCTGTGTGAAGTTGGAGAAATTAAGTTTTAATTTATTGTTGTCTTATTTATTGGATTTATATAAGTGCGACTTGTGTTTATTTGAACAGCATTCCAGTAGAATTTAGTTCAGTTAGGGAATAGTTACTACTTGGGGGGGAATTATTCGGTTTGTTCGCAATTCTGTTAATTTGTTCATTGTTAGGGTTAAATAAATAAATTGTTTCTGTAATTTATAAAGCTGGGATGTGGGGTTTTCGTTCTTTTAACCACTCTTTTCACAGATTACGAGGGGCAAGGCGAGCTTCTCTAGGTGTTTCAGGTGTAATTATTAGAAGGGAATCTCTACTCCTGTCATATCAGATTGGGGGCTTGTGATTTGGTTTAATTATCAGAGGGGTTCCCCTCTTCCTAACAATACTCAAACTGAAAAAGTATATATTCCATGTTGAGTTGCAGAGAGGCACCGAGTTAAAGTTTCAGATCCATTAATGACTCCTGCGGAGTTTTTCCAACACTTTCTTTTTTTTCTGTTTTGTTTCCCCAGAGGATAAGCCTGGGATACAAATGCCATGGTGGTACTGTCTCCCTCAGGGAGGGAGCAGGAAGTTTATTTCAACAAGGAAACATTTTCCTTTCAAATGTATTTTGCAGTCGGGTGAAGATTCATTTCTCCAAATATGCATAGAATTATGTGCCTCCTTCTTCCTGTGTCTTATTTCAGATTTGTCTTGGCTGTTGCTTTGGATCCAAGGACAATGTAAATGTCTTGTGTATTTTTATTCTCTGTTTGGTAGCCCAGAGATCGAAGCTCCTTACGTAGCTGAGGAAGAACAGGAACGGCTGCTGGGATTGTATCAGTATTTGTACAGCCGGGTCCACAACTCTGCAAGGCCTCTGAAGTACATCTATTATGCGGGAGACCGGGAAAATTTATTGGCATGGGTAAGAACCCAGGCTCGGAACATTCTAGCACCTTATGTCAAAGCAGCAGCTCCTTGCCAGTGTTTACGCTCCACACTGGCCTCCTCTGAGCTTAAACTCAGCTCCCAGGTCAGGCTCCGAAGTAGATCCCAGAATCATCAGGATGTGGGCGGCACGGTGGCTCTGTGGTTGGCACTGCTGCCGCATAGCGCCAGGGACCCGGGTTCGATTCCACCCTCGGGCGACTGTGTGTGGAGTTTGCACATTCTCCCCATATCTGTGTGGGTTTCCTCCCACAGTCCAAAGATGTGCAGCTTAGGTAGATTGGCCATGAGAAATTGTCAGTACTGTGGGGATTCTTTGATCGTCGGAAAGTAAGCGGCACCCCAGACCTCTCGGTGTCTCTCGTCGACTTCCATCAACCGAATGTAAACAGCTGAATTTACAATTGTACAAATAACTTGTTAAAATAGTCAGCGATTAACATGGAGGTTTGGAGGCACTATGCAGGCCAAGAATGAGCCAGAAACGTGTGGTCAGTGCCCCTGACCTCTGGATGAGAGGTGATAGAAGAGCAAGCTTCGCAGTAAATCCCCTGACTGCGAAATGTGGTTACAGCAATGCAGTTCATTGCATTCCAATGTCCTTTAGGGAAGAAACCTGCCATCCTTACCTGGTCTGGCCTACAAGTGACTCCAGACCCACAGCAATGTGGTTGACTCTTAACTTTATTCTGGGCGATTAGGGATGAGCAATAAATGCTGGCCCAGCCAGAGATGCCCACTACCCTTTGATTTGATTCATTATTGTCACATGGATACTGAAAAGTGAACCCTTCAATGAATTTCGATAAAGGAGGAGCCCGACTTTCCAACTAGCCCCCTGAGCAATGCACCCCTGTAATGTTACCGGAGAGGAGCACACAGATCAGCCACCAGCATTGGTGAGTGAATATTAGTTGAACCCTGGAGTTAGTTGCTGCATTGGAAGTGGAAATGTGTTTCTGTGTTGTAGTAAATAGCAGTTTTATCAGGACCCAGGGAGGTGTGTTGTTGAGGTCAAGTATCAAGGGCATTATCAAGTATCAAGGTTCCCCCACTCGCAACTGATGGGGTAACTATAATTGATTTACCCCATGCTCAGCCCAGTGCAGTACTTGATCTAAGGATGCTGCACGGTTAACTGGAGAGGGAGTGAATTCTGAAGCCAATTCCTTATGGATAGACATTGTATAAGGCAAGCCTGGAACTAGGCTGCACAGTTATAAAGTCAGGGGTCAGCCTTTCTGCGGCAGGGGAACCCTCAATGTCAGAAGGTGGTGGAGGTGGGGTCCATAATTATCTCGAAGGGAGAGCTAGATGGAGTCCCGTTAGGCAGGGACAATCAAAGACTATCGAGGGCAGGTGGGAATATGGATTTCAAAACACTAACCAAACAATGGCGATCTTATTGAATGACAGAGCAGGCTTGAGGGGCCGAATGGCCTACTCTTGATTCTGCCTACACTTGTGCCTGTGCTGGGATTACAGAAGGAGAACACTCATTAATGTCGTCGATGCGAGGTGGTCAATGCTATTTCTATTAACTCGCGTTAAAGTAACACCAAGGTTTCTGGCCCTGTCGGTGTTTGAACCCCTCTTCTCCAAAGAGGCAGAGTGAGTGGAGAATCATGGAATTATTGCGTGCCAGAGGAGGCCATTTGGCCCAAAACGTCTGCACCCAGCTCTCTGAGCATGTTAACTCGGTGACAATCTGCTGCCTTTTCCCCGTGACCCTGCACACCATTGCTACTTAAATAATCGTTCGATCGCCCCTTGACTGTCTCGATTGGACCTGCCACGCTTCCAGGCAGTGCATTTCGAAGCCCCCCACCCCCTCCCAAGGCCGCAATGTTTGTCAATGTTGATGTGAGTGAACAATGAGAGTTTCTCTTTTCTTTCTTTCCCTAACCTCTGTCCTGTCTCTATCTCACCTTTCAGGTGACGAGTGGATTTGAACTCTACATGTGCTTCTCTCCTTTGTCAACCAAAGCTACTGCAGTAGGTGCCATTAGCAAACTAATGAAGTGGATCAGGAAAGAAGAAGACAAGCTGTTCATCCTCAACCCTGTGACGTACTGACAGAGGGCGTTGTGATGGAGTGATTCCCTCACCACTGACCAAAAACCCAAACTGACTGAGTGTGACAGCTTGCTCATGGGGGACCTGGAAGGCTGATGACCACTAATGTTTGTCACAGAGCTTTCTTTCCAAACAGATGAGGCGGTGAGATGTAAGCCATTTATATTACAAAAAAGAAACACTACATCCGTTGCAAGTACTGCGCACCAATTGGGTGTCACCACCATTTTGGGTTTTATCTTCCCCATTCCTGCTCTCTTCCCCACCCCACCACCACCGCCCCCCCCGCCCACCCTGAATCTCCATCATCATAACTGGCCCTGCGTTATGCAGCTACACCTGGAACTTTGCTGGTCTCTAGGGATAAGAAACAATCTGACAGGTCCCTCTGTACTCGTACAATGTTGTTACAGCTCCACATTAGTCCTGGCGCTTCACAGATTACCTCTGATAGTCAGCAAGGGGGCCCAGGGTTATCAGAAATACTTGCAACATCCTGCACTGGCATGATTTCCACCTTTTTTTTTTTTAAACAAAAAAATACCCGCCGAAGCTGCCACAAAATCTGAGGTGAGCCTGGAGAAAAATCCTAATTGATCTTTCCTAAGACAAACCCAGAGATTGTGAGAGTGAGGCCGCGGATGGTGGAAGCTGTGACTGTGGGAGAATGCCACTTGGCCTCTCAAGCCCATTCTATCAAAGATTTGTCTTTTAAGACGACAGCCTTTTTTTTAAAATAAACCTAAAGTTATCTTAATAACCAAAAATCTTTGGCTCCGCTGATCAGGGACCATTTGTAATTGTGTCGAATACCTTAAAGTGAACTTGTGTAAATTCTAATGTATAACAAATCGGTATTGAAAAGGAATAATGAAACAAAATGATGATTATAGAGGGAAAAAATAGAAGATGTGAGCATTCCTCAGACTGTTGCCACGTTTGGTGTAAAATGTGTGATGAACGTGGGAGGGTTTTTGTGGATTAAAATCGATGAGAATCCAGGAAGTGGCCAGAAGGGTTTGTGATCCTTGCCTGGTGATTTGCATTCTGTGACCTAGGCAATATGAGGGAGGTCCACCTCAGTAAATAACACAGCTATGATTTGTCCTGTCAGAACAACAACTTTCATTCCTTATAAGGACTTTAATGTCATTGAACATCCTTTTACTGGAGCATTATCAAATGTACTTTGACACCAGATCTCACAATGCCCCAAATGAGGAGTTCCCCGGTATCATCCTAACAGGAAGACGGAGCGCAGAGAGGATCGGGGAAAGAATTCCAAAGCTCAGGCCCTTTGGTAACTGAGGGCACAGCCAGAAAATATGCAGCAAATGAAATGAAGTACCCAAGAGGCCAGCTTGGAGGAGTGTCCACTTCCTGGAGGGTTTTGGGGCTGCGGAATGAGGCTCCGGAGGGATTTGAGGTTAAGTGTGAGAGTTTCAATGTGTGTTGAGATGTTTATGTTGCACTGATTATGTCACGGACACTGAGCAGAACCTTGGGTATTCAGTGAGATTTTCAGGTGCTTTTGCCAACACCCTCAGGACAGTGATGCCCAATGTCGGCCATTGTCCTGAGAAAACCTCAAACGAGTCGAATTGTCCTGGAAATGATGAACATCAGGAAGAGCCTAACACAGACTCCAAATGCTTAAGCTTTATAGTTTTCAAGTGTGACTTACTGTTTAGAATGTGAATAGTCAGTGAATTACTTTAATGGCAGCTCGGTCTCGGAAAATTGGCAGAATTGAGGGTGATGTGAGTTATTTTAGAGTGTCATTCCATGTATCACTGACTCCTGGTGCTTTGCCATCTAATGTTTTTAAAAAAAAACCCTCAGTGTTGCAACCTGCTGGAAGAGCAGAGCAGTGTGAAAATAATGTGTTACTTAAAGTTAACTGTAGACTTTGATCAGACTGACAAACTTTGGAGCCATACGGATATGCAAATTAAGATCAGGAGTAGGCCATTTGGCCCAAAATAACCAGCTCCACCATTGAGTAAGATTTTGGCCGATCTGACTCTTCCACATTCGTGCCCAGAACTGACAACATTTCACCCCTTGCTTGTCAAGAATTGATCCACCTCTGACTTAAAGGTATTCAAAAACTGTGCTTCTGTCACCTTTTGGGGGGGAAAACAAAAGTCCCAAGTACTCATGGCCCTCTGTGAGGGGGAGAAAAAGGCCTCTCCTCAGCTCTCATTTTGAATGGACAGCCTCTTATTTGTTAAACAGCGATCCCTGGTTCTGGATTTTCTCACAAGAGGAAACCTCTCCACGTTCACTGTCTGTCAAGATCCGTCAAAATCTTTAACAACAAAAACAGAAACTGCTGGAGAAACACAGCAAGTCAGGCAGCATCTGTGGAGAAGAATGTTTGTTTGTTTTGAGCCCTGAATGATGCTTATTTTAGAGCTTGTATATCCCCTCTCTGTCTGTCTGTTTCTCTCTCTGTCTGTCTGTCTGTCTGTCTGTCTGTCTCATTCGCTCTCTCTCTTTGTCTCGCTCGCTCTGTCTAGCTCTTTTTTCATCGCAAAAATAGATGTTTCTTCACAAAATTACTTGCAGAAAAGACACCTGGAGGTAGAGGGAGGAATGTGGGAATATAAAAAGTGATTTGACTTTTAAAAAATGCACTAGGTCTTAATGATACAGGCTTTCAGTATGTGCGTGTGTGTGTGTGTGTGTGTGTGAGAGAGAGTGAGAGAGGGAGAGAGAGAGAAAGAGAAATAAAAGTAGAAAGAGATTTTCCAACACAGTGATAATCTGTCGAGTGAGTTTCTCTGGCTGTAAACAGCCTGATGTTTTCATACACAGCGAATGTTGCCATCGAAACAGATGATATTATTTCTTACTAACAACTTACACAATCCAGAGAACATTTGTAAACGGCTTCAAGCTGCAGCACACCTTTGGACTTTGGATGATTAAATAAAGAGTTGCTTTGTCACCTCACCTGATTCTGACAATCTAAATGTAATATGTTGGATTTGGTGGATAGTTATTTCTTGTCCTTTCAAATGAGCTTGATGACTAAACAGGGAATAGTGAGACACCAATTTAACATTCCTTAGTGATCGAGACACTGATATAACCAATTACACAGCATGTCTGGGAGATTGGATTTGAGAATTGCTCAGTGGGGTGCTGTTATCGTGTCATGTTGAGATGGCGGACACCTTGACTGCTCATATTAGTTTCATCGTGACTGGGTAAAAGTCCCTGGGGATGCTCGTTATGTTCAGTGTTAATTATATCTCCCTAATGTGACATTACTCTGCAAATACATTCCAGCCACGTGTTTGGTACGTGGGTACATTTGCTGTAAATGCCTCTACATGAAACAACATTACTGCTCCCTGTCCTCAGCACGAATGTATAAAACCTAAAGTCGCTTTATTTGTCTCTCTGTCAGTGACCATGGCAATCTGATGTACTCTTTACTCACCAATATGTCTTCTTTCAGTGCTTAAATGAGAGTGAGCTGTTTATCTCTTAAGCATTGGTCTTACACACACACACACACACACACACACACACACACACACATAGGGTGTGTGTGTGTGTTTTGAACAGTTCCTGTTTCCTATTGCACCTTCTCTCTGTTCCCTCTTTTGTCTTTCATTGTTAGTGCTTTTCCGAGGATAAACTGTACAGACTTTGACAATGAAAGCTCTCGGATCTGAAACATGGACTCAATTTCTCTCTCCTCAGCTGCTGCCAGACCTGCTGAGTATTTCCAGCTTTTATTTTTTTCGCTCTTTGCTTCGCTCTGTGTCACCTTGTTGCAACAGGGAATGCTATTTTGTGCAGAAATTGACCGAGTTTGGGACGTGATCAGATTACTGCCTGTGACGCGGTACGGCCAAAACTGTTCTGTTACATGATAAAGGCATTGGCTTGGTTAGCTTTATCAAACACAAAGTAGGCACAGGGCCAGAACCTCCTCTTGCCAGGGGGAGTCTTGTTGGTAGCCGAGAGGCTATGCTGCTACCATGCAAAACATTCCCTTCCAGGCACCGAGTGTAGAGGTGAAAGCTTAGCCCAACATAAAACACTGCACACATACAAACCGTGCAGGTAGAGTGTGGCAGGCTTGGCACTATTAGGTTACGTGTTGAGATTTGACACCCTTGCAGTTTGACAATAAAATAGTCCACGTGTGCACACGTACAGCTCTAGGCTGCTGTGGTGGCAGGGAAAAGATTTGGGCGGCACGGTGGCTCAGTGGTTAGCACTGCTGCCTCACAGCGCCAGGGTCCCAGGTTCAATCCCACCCTCGGGCGACTGTCTGGGCACAGTTTGCACATTCTCCCTGTGTCTGTGTGTGTTCCCTCCGGGTGCTCCAGTTTCCTCCCACAGACAAAGGTGTGCAGGTTAGGGGGAATTGGCCATGCTAAATTGCCCAGAGCGTTCAGGGATGTGCAGGTTAGGTGGATTGGCCGTGGGGAATGCAGGCTTAGAGGGACCAGGTGGGGGCTGGGTCCCTATGGGATGCTCTTTGGAGGGTTGGTGTGGATTTGATGGGCTGAACACCTGCTTCCACACTGTACTATGATTTATCAGAATGGTCCCTGGGATGAGGGATTAGCATGGAGAAACTGGAGATGTTCCCGGTTGAAGTAAAGGAGATTAATGGAAGTATGCTTGGTTAGGGCAAGTTTAGATTCATGACCAAAATAAATGCTGTTCCCATTAACTGATGGGGAAACTGATTCTGAAAGCTTGGGCAAGAGATGGGGAAGAAGAATTTTCTTTTTAATGCAATGAACAGGAATGACCTGGAACTTGCTGCCCATGAGGGGGATGGAAGGGGCGATAGTTAATAATGTCCATGGGAACGTAGATGGGAAATAAACTTAAAGGGCCAAGAGGCATTGACTGGGGGAATGAGAACTCCATGGATGACCAACATGGGCTTGATGGTCCCAATTGGCCTCTTTCTGTGCCTTTTATGATTCTATAAAGTTTAACCACTTAGTTATCCACTGCAATAAGAGGCTTCTCGGCCTGAGGGTCTATCATAGACAAAATAAATTGTGAAATGGACAGCTTTCTGCACAACCATACCTTCAGCCAACAGTCAAAGTAAGAACATACAAATGTCAAATTAGGAGCAGAATTAGGCCATTCAGCCCTTCAAGCTTACTCTGCCATTCAGTAAGATCATGGCTGATCTGTTTGTTTTGAATTCCACTTTCCTATCTACCCTTTGAGACCAGATTTAAACACCTAGCTGTGGAGTGTTCTGGGAGCTGTTTCTACTGCAGGACCATAGCAAGGCTTCCATTGTATTTCTGACCAAATCATGCTCTTCGAATGGATGTATTACTGGCCCTCTGTTAGAACACCTCACGCCTCTCTCGGGCAATCTTTGATATTAACACCACTGAGTATAGCCTTGGAAAGCTTGTTTGTTGACACAAGCCTGGACACCAATCAGGGACTGGGAAATAGATGTGGAATCCCAGTTCTCTTTTTGAAGGATCTAGTGAGGCTTTCAAGCTCGCTAACCAGCAAAAAGCGTCACTTGTCACTGGCATATAGTAATATCTTTACCTGCTGGTTACTTGTCAAAAAAACCCCCACCAATTCTCAACAATAGAAATGGGTGGGAGGAACCAAAAATTCTCCATAGTGTGTGCAGTGGACTGTGGATAAACCTTTGTCAGACCAATTGTTAAAATGAATTGTAGCAATCTTGTTCTTTTTGCTTGGGGCATGCAATGGTTTGCTATTATTTCTCAAATGCTTTAACAGAGAGAGAGAGATCATTCTCCTAGATTTATCTTGGTGCTGCAAGGCTGGAGTTTGAGGAGGTGGACATGAATTCTCCTGAATGTAATGAAACGGTTAATGTAAATCTGATCTGTGTCTGGAGATAGTGCTCCAGTTTCACAGCTCTCTTCTGTCCCCTGGTGTGCTTAACTAGCCTTACAGTGTCATTGTCAAGGCTGCCACCTCTAAATCTATAAAACAATGAAGGCCTACCCACAGCATTTAACACTGTTTGTAAGGCACTATGTTCTTACCTAAGAATTAAAAATTCGTTGGTGCCACATTAACTTTCAATTACAAATGTTGAGGATTCAGTAGTAGATTACTCCTCAGGGAGAGTGACTGGCTGAGTTAAAGGACCAGAATTTTACTCACAGATTATTAACATTGTATTAATATACATGATATAATTATACATGTGTTTTCTAGAGTCTTAATTAATCTAAAATGTTACAAGAACTGGAAGGAATTTAATATTCTTTGCATTGTGTCTGTTTCTGGAGGATGACTGGAGAAATGCTCTCTAGTGGAAATAGGGGACATGTTGAAATGCCAATGCACTGTAATTAAGGAAGATGCAAATATGTTTATTGTTTGGTTTGAATTTTTACAATTACTATTTCAATTAAATATGTGAAAAAGATTTGTACCCTAATTAAACAATTGCAAGAAAGAAATTAATTTTGTGCGATTTTCGTTTTTTTTTGTCACATATTTAAAAAGAAACACAAGTTTAACTGTTTTAAACACTTTTGATAAGGGAAATCACTCAAAGGGTGATTATGGACCACGGTTTGGAATAATAAGAATCTCCTCCTGTGCAGTGTAACCTTGTATGCCTCACTCTGTCTAAGCACCCTGTGATCAGTATGTCCTTGCCTACTATGATTTGCCTGTACTGCTCGCAAACCAAGCTTTTCACCGTGCTTAGGTACATGTGACTGCAA